GAGGTTGGGTTTAGGGATTTGTTTGGTTTTTTGTTTTGTTTTGTTTTGTTTTTTTTCCCCCCCAGGGAAAATGAGATGAATGTCTTAATGCCTTGTCTTCCCTGGGGAAAAAAGTGTTCATGCATTGAATTAACTTGAATTAGTGAATTGTCAATAAATTTCTGACACAGGCAAAAGTTGACAGTTTTTTCCCATGAATTATCATGTCAAGTTTAAAGATCAGGCTTTTCTGTAGTACTTGATTCTACCTGTTTACTCATGTAAGGAGTACTGCCTGTTCTTCATTAGGCCCCACTCCCGGTTGGTTAACCTAACTTTTCTTAAACGCTACTAAGCTCCCAGTCTCAATGGGACATATTTCCTGTATTAAGACTGCTGTCTGGCTAGATGACAGGATTAATTTCTTTAGGCTGGTATAAGGGATTGCGACTAAGAAAAAGAATGCTTAGGCTGCATTTCAGGATAAACTTCCTAGTGGTGAAACCTCTTAATGTAACGTAGTCTTCCAAGGGAAAAGCTAAAAACCCCCTTGCTGAGGCTAGACTGAGCAAAGCACCAGAAAATATAACATAAGGAAGAAACATGATATGGGAATAGGTAGGTGCCCAAGTACCTTTTAAAAATCAAGCTCATTAAACTTGTGGGTTTGCAATAAATTCCAGTATTTCCAGATTTTTTTAAATTTTTTGTCTTCTGGCTTTTTGCTGCTGAAGTTCTGACTCAGTTTTGGTTGTTTAAAAAAAATCTTCCTTAGGAGCAATTCAACTACCCTTTTGAAAATGTCCATTTGCTGGGGTACAGTCTGGGAGCACATGCAGCTGGGATTGCTGGAAGTCTGACCAAAAAAAAGATTAACAGAATTACTGGTAAGAAAAATCTACTCTCCATCTATTCTTTGACAAAGAGAAAAAGGGAGCTGGTTTTGATTTTCCCCAGGCTGGAATATTACTTTTCTGTGGAAATTGGTTACGGTAAATTTTAGCAATGGTGGCTGTATATGAACGTACTGTTGGTGTCAGGAGGAGAGTTGGCACTGATTAGATGACAGTAGCATTGAAAGGCCAGAGTGCTACTATGCTAAACGCTCGATCCTGGTCTATAATAGAAAGGAAAACATCAACATAATGACCAGCATGGATAATAAGCAAATGGGAAACAAATTCCCTACTGATCAACAGACACCAAATGGGACACAACCCTGCCTTTAAAAATAAATGCAAACCTGTTAGCACATCTTTACTGCTACCACAGTCAACATCCCCCACAATCAGAATCCAGTGATCCTCCATGCATCTATCCCAGAATGTGGTACTTCTCCTCCCGTGTACCAGATGGATGGAAACTATGGGAGTGAAAGCTCACAAAGTATACAGCAGAGTGAATGATCACAGGAAAAAGAGGAAGGACCGAGACTGACAAATGTATAGAAACTGCACTCCCTTTTGTGATCTTGCAGTCTTGTGGTTCAGGATGGTGTACAGAACACCTTCAGAAGACAGGCCTGGGGACAGCACTTTATAACTAGGGCTCTACCCTATTCACAATGTCTTGCTTTTTACAGAGGCTGTGAAGAAAATGGTTTCCAAGGAAACCCCCCAAAAATGGAATTTTTCCCATGATTTTGGCATAGAATCACAGGGGAGGTGGGAAACTTACTAAAAATAAAATGCTGGCTCCCTAGTGGGAGCCACTGGCACGAAGGGAAGAAGCAAAGATGGCACTACATGCCCCTTCCCTGTGCTGCCAACCTTCCCCCCCCGCTACTGATTTGGCTTAGATGGCTGCTCATTGTGCAGCCCTACCCCTCCAACGCAGCAGCAAGGGGCGAGGCTGTACAATGGGCAGTCCTCTTGGCCAATCAACATCAAGGGGTGGGGCTGCCTGGGCCCCCTCTGCCAGTCAGCACTGGGGGAGAGGGCACCATGAAAAGACCACACAAATGGTGCCATGTGCTGCAAGCAGCCCACACTTTTTTTTTCTTTTTTCACCTTGGTGTAATTTTTTAGGTAGATTACTCTTCATAACTTTATTATAACTAAAGATCATAACTAAACACAGATATTGACTATATGGCTCATTAAAATGTATCTTAAATCTCTGCTAATCTCTCTATTCCACAATGGATAAGAATCATCTTCCTTCTTGAATAGTCTTGCTCTTCTACTAGTCAGGCTGTCCCTTCTACTGTACTTCTCTTGTCTTAGCTTTGTGTACCCCCTCCATTTTTTTTTTAGCAGAACGTTTGTTGTTACTTTATATAGGGAGCTTTACACAGGTTATTTAAGCTGTTACTTAGCTCAAGCTTTGCCTGTTTTGGTTTGGTTGGCTTGTTTGTTTTCCACAGACCTGAGGAAAAGTACCATATATTTAAACTTGTCTAAGATGTTTCCCAACTATGCTGTTTGTCCAGTAAAAGAACACCTCCCAAAAAATCCTTGCCTCACTTCCTGACCATCACTGCTACATCATTCCACTCCAACAGTATAGTAAAGGCACTTGTCTAGAGTGAACTTGGGCTGCTGTTTGAGTGCTCTTCCTAACTCTTTTCCTGTACACATGCAAAACTTTCACCCAGGCTGGGTGGTGCTTTCAAAACAGGCCTGCTAGCACAGCTGGGTATGAGAGTATCTGGGTGTGGCTATCGGTCAAGCTGATAACCTGCCTACTCTGCAGTGAGCAGATAGTCCTCCAAAGCCTTCCCACAATTCTCCCTGTGCAGCCAGAAGAACAGAGAGGTTCTCTCACAGTTCAGTAGGAAAGGAACATGGATTTGCTAAGTTTACTGTAACCCCCCAAAACCAGAATTCCTAGTGACAGATCAGTGAGGAATGGCATCTATGAGCAGCAGCCCAGTGACACAGCCAGGTGCCTGGGACACAGGGGGACAGAAGTGACTTCTGGTTGCTGCCATGCTGCTGGCATGATCATGATTTTTGTGGCTGCTAATGGCAGCCATCTTTTTCACACCACCTCTTTCTCACCCTGCCTCTGCTCTTCCCCTGCCAAATTGGTGTCTGGCATGGTTGCCCTGATCGCTCTGTTCTTGATATGCCACTGCCTGTGAGGACTTGGTAACTCTGTAGGGCTTTCCAATATAGTGATATGAAGCTTGACTAATCAGCATACATTTTTAAATAAAAATTGGCAACATTTGCAACAATATTTCTCCTGCTATTCTGTGAATGAACAAGGAGGTCAAAAAAATCTTAAACTTTAGACATTTGGAATTTCTACATATGAAATTTTGAAAAGAGTTGGGGGGGAGAAATATTCTCAGATAATATTCAGTACAGCAACCACATAGAAATTATACTTGCCACCTTACAGTTTTTCATATGTATCACATTCTGTTTAATAATGATAAAACTTTAACAGCAGTGCTTTTGCACCCACGAATGTGCACAGTTTGGATTGTGTTTAAAGAAGTAGCAATGTACAAAAACCCAGTCTAGTACAGTATATAATATGAACCACAAATATTAGACCACTCCTATATCCATGGTTTTGGGTTTCTTTTCCTCATGCAGGTTTAGATCCAGCTGGTCCTACCTTTGAATATGCTGATGCGCCTATGCGCCTATCCCCAGATGATGCTGAATTTGTTGATGTCTTACACACTTACACAAGGGGGTCCCCAGACCGGAGCATTGGGATACAGCAGCCAGTTGGGCATATTGATATCTATCCTAATGGAGGAAGCTTCCAGCCAGGCTGTAACTTAGGAGAAGCTCTGCGCCTCATTGCAGAAAAAGGCTTTGGAGGTAAGGCTGCTTTGGAAAGTGCAGATAAATACCTACAGCGGGATTTTCATTGTGCCTAGAAGTACAAATCCTATTGAAGGTTGGTAGGCACTTCTGAAGGTCACAGAGAGCCCTCCTCTAAACTGGATAATTTTATCCACCAATTGCATAGTTTGATGCCTGTAATTTTATTTTTTTTCTTCCAAAGATATGGATCAGCTCGTGAAATGCTCTCATGAACGTTCCATCCATCTCTTCATTGACTCTCTGCTGTATGAGGAAAAGCCAAGCATGGCCTATCGCTGTCAAACAAAGGAAGCCTTTGAAAAGGGGCTTTGTTTAAGCTGCAGGAAGAACCGCTGCAACAATATGGGTTATCAGGTCCATAAAGTGAGAACCAAGAGAAACAGTAAGATGTATCTGAAGACACGGTCTCAGGCACCCTATAAAGGTAGATTCTGGCTGTTTGAATGTGTAAAGTGTGTTTTGCTTGGATCTGCTCTGTGTACAAATGTGAATGTGATTGCTTCTTTGCAATGTGAGGTCAGGAGATGTTGAGCCTGAATAAGTTTTATATGCTTTTAGAATGTGATTCAGATCAAACTATTGAACATCTTGGAGTTTTGCCTTATTGGGGGAATTTTTTGTAACAATGTTGAGAGAGCCTAAAGAAAGGAATTACTGTTCAGTCTAGAAAGTAATTCTTTTTGGAATAGTCTAGCCTTCAGAATTTTTTTATCACTTTCTTTTCTAAACTCACTTTTACTGCTGCTGGAAATGTTAAAAGCAAGCCAAAGCATGGTGACCGACTTACTCAAATATGTGCAGTAATCAGGCACTCTTACTATTCATAAGCATCTGCCAGAGCTGTACATACTGTCAGGTTAAGTCAAACACTTCCGCTTATTTTCTGATCCAATCAGTTGGATTGGTCTGAGGAAGAGATTGGTGAAAAGAATCTGAAAGCTTTCAGTCAAAGAACTGTTAAGACAGATGACTTTTTAACCAGCTTTGACAGTGTCACACGAAGGATGTGCTTATGGCCTTGCCACAAGCTGTGAGTAAAGAGGCAGCATGCAGTTGCGTGGCACTGAAAGCAACTAGCTTGAACCCTTGTTCCCCTGGAAAGGTTGTAGGACCAGTGTTTGAGATCCCCATTGTACATGAGGGTGTCAGTTGGATTGGTTAGAACTGACCTCACAAAGACTCCATGCGTAAGAAACAACTACTCACTTGTCCTCATGTTTTGCAAGAACTCTAAAACATGTCTCTTTTGTGCAAGCTAATGCAAAGGCATAACTGAAGCCACAGTGATGCTTTGGAGTGGATCATACAAATGCAAAGTGGAAAATAATTCTATGGTATCTGACCCTGTTGTCTTGCTCCTAATAAGTAATGCTTACTGACAAGAATAGTCCCCATGACATACTAGTTGGAGTACTACTCACCTTGAGTAAGGGTGGCAGGTCATGGCAGGGTATGCCGAGCTATTACTGTTTACTCTTTTGTTCCCTCTTTCACGGTTCATTTCTGTAATGAAATTTGCTTGTTCCTCTCCCAGTTTTTCATTACCAGGTCAAGATCCATTTTTTTGGAAAGGAGACTGTAACTAAGACAAATCAGCCACTCCTCATTTCTCTGTATGGCACAACAGATGAGAGAGAGAACATTGCCTTTATACTGTGAGTAATGGCAGTGATTGGTGCAAATATACATGTAACTGATCTCTGTATGTTGCGTGTCCCCTGCTAGCCTCACCCACGTAAGATTGGAGCCTGTTTCAGCCTACTCTGCAAAATCTGTGTTGCTAATTCAGTCTGCACAAACTCCTGCTTTTGAGGTATGGAGAGTCTCTAATTCAAATCCAAATGTTGACCAAGATGGTGGCCACTGCACATTACATGCTAGACTTTAACATTCAGACTCCAAAAAGTCTCTTGATTCAGTAGAGATTTGAAATGGAAAGAAATGAGGTTTGGCTTATGGCTCATTGTTGTAAGTAATTTTCCAAGCCAGAGAAATTCAAGCCCTTATTATGTCATCTGTTTTTTAAGCAGAGCTCTATGGAGAACTCTGTTTTCAGCCTTATAGTGTGGATTTGTTATTGTGCTAGAATAACACTCATTTTTCTTCACTTGAGGCTTCACCTTGTTTCTATTCAGTTGAATAATTTTACAAAGGATTTCTCTTGGAATTTAATAGTCAAATATGGGCTTACCACTGCCACCATGTGTGGGGTGACATTGTGTCATGCCACTTCAGGAATTGACCAGGAAACAGATGGTGACTCGGATGAGCAGGATTGGATTCAAATATTCTGAGTGAAGGGCAGTTGAAGTCAATGGAAGTATGTCCATTGACTTCACTGGGCCTTGAATAAGGCACTGAGGGACACACAGAGCATGTTTGCCTATCTCTGAAAATAAACACTACTGTCTAAGCACACATTTGTATTTATTTTTCTTCACAGACCTGAAATTTCCACAAACAAGACCTACTCCTTTCTGGTTTACACAGAGGTGGATATTGGTGACTTACTTAGGCTGAGTCTGCAGTGGGAGAAAGACTCTTTTTTCAGTTGGACAGAATGGTGGACCTCCTTCACATTTGACATCCACAGAGTGCGAGTGAAGGCTGGAGAAACCCAGAAAAAGTAACTTGGTTTTACTGCTTTACAGGCGGGGGGAAACAGAAAAACTTAATTTATTCCTAGTGTTTGATGTCCAAATACATGGCTAAATGGGGCAAGTAATGGAGAAGTGGAAAACTAATATGAACTGGTACTATTAGGGTCGTCTTCTCTATTGCTCCAGTGATGCAAAGAAGCTGTAACTTTGGCTCAAGTAGACATTTAAGTTGGGTTTACAGACACCTTGCGGGGTGGGGAGGACGGGGTCTGAGTGGTGCATAGCAGCTAAGGAGGCATACCAATAATTCTGCTTCCCATAAGTTTTGGTTGATCCTTGCTGAACACTGGATTATAATGAAACAACGTTGAAGTACATGAGCAGTCCCATTGACTTCTAGTACACACATGTGTAAGGGCCTTCCTGAACAGTGATGGTTGCTGGTATTTGCCACCCCTCACCTACCTGCTGAATATTTTTGCAAGGAACTTTTGCTCACAAAGAACACTGAGGGTAAGAGGTTTCTGAGTACTCTTCCAAATTTGTATTCTTGCTGGAAACATTTTTGAGACCGTCCTGGAAACTCTTTATAGGATTAGAAAATTTTCAGTGAGGAGTAAAAATAAGAACATGTGACCTTGCATACAAATTGCTAATTGTGGACATTTAACATGGTGTCTATTAGCACTTACCAGATTACTAATTGTAACCACTTGAAGTAGTTCTCAGTTGAGCAGCTGAAATGCATTCATATAAATGACTTGAGTAATTTGAATATGATCAGATTCATAAAACCTTAAGTCTGTTGGGAGAAAAAGGGGCTACATTTGGCTATGGGTGTGTTGCAAACAGAATGGCCATTTCTGTGAACAAGCACAGTAATTGCTTTTATCAAAGTACGCAATAATTCTTGCTCAACAAATAGAGGGATGAAAGGTATCAGCAAGCATAAAAGCAGCCGCTTACTCTTCCCAGAATTGGCAACCTCATCTTATTTGCCAACGTTCAGGGGAGTACCGCTATTTTCCAAGAACACTGAGTGCCAGGGTGAATAAAGGTCTAAGGGAATTCGTGCCAATTCTTACAGCCATATTCAACAACCCCCCTCAAAAAAAGAAAAAACAAACAAAACCCCAAACAAACAAAAACATGTTTTTAGTTGAAAAATTCTGTGTAGCTAGTCAGGAAAAAGCCCAGGCACCCAGTTTAGCCACATCTGCCAACTGTCCCTCTACCTTTTTTTGCATTCGGTGATTTTTCTGATTGAAACTCAGCAGTCTAAAGCTACACAGTGCACAGCAGTGACCTGTTGGGGAGCCAGCACTTTGCTGAATTTGTTCCAAAGTGGCAATTCTTTTTTCCACAACACAATTTAGCTGTAAGCAGAGCTTTCATTGTAAGCTGAAACTATTTGCATAGTACAGTGCACCAGAACCATTTGAACTCTTCATGAATGAAGTTTCATTGCATCCAATTTCTTAAGAAAAAGATTATTCCCTTTTAGATAACTATAATTTTTTTTAGTAAAAATGTTGTAAAGGTTTTTTGTATGTTTTAAAGGATAAATGCTGGCTCTACACTTCTAACAAAGGAAATATCAAATCAGTTTTCCATCAAATTCTTATAGGCATTTAAGAAATGACTGGTAGTGTACTGGATAAATACCCACTCTGTTTCAGCAAACTGATGATACTTTATAGTTAAAAAGCTTGGCCCAGATTAACTGTGACACCTGGTTTGTTTGGTCTGTAGGATGGTGTTCTGTTCTCAGGATGGAGTTGCTCATCTCCAAAAGGGAGAGAAAGCTGTAATGTTTGTGAAATGCCTTGGTAACCCTGTCCGCAGAAGGAAAGCGGGGTAAGAGATTGGGGTTTTTTTGTTTGTTTGTTTTGTTCTTTCCTTTCTTTGTCAAGTCAATCCACATGTAAGTGTGGAACATTGCTTTAAGGATGTTCTCGGGTCTTGTCTGAAATTAGGCAGCATGAAAAATCTTGAGTGAACCTGTTCTCATAATTTTCAGACTTACTGATTTTGTATGTTAACAATAGTCAGAATCATCTCCATAAGATTTGAAGGTAATTACGACTCAGTGCCTCATTATTTTGTGAATTTACTACTTAACACTTCAAAAACTCTGAGCCTGTTTTTTCTAGTACCTACCCCTTGCATAGTCATTGACACCTATGTGAAACCCTAGAAGGTTAGAAAGGTAGCTTCTTATACTCATTTAACACAAGTATATGTGACCAGTATAAGCCCTGTGATGTGTATAATACGATGTATCCAAACTCGGCAAAGTGAGAGTGCATTTGAGTCTTTAGCGTCACTTGCATTTTGTTTTGTTTGGGCTCTGTCAGCTTATATATATGAAAAATCTCATTGATGCACCTGCATATGTAGATCTTGCACAGTGAGGTACAAGTACAGAACTTCACTCCATGGAGAAGCCCCACTCAGGTCACTAAGAATTTCTAGCTGGGTAGCAGGCCCAAAACTTAAACCAAGTTGGGCATGCAAAATTTGAGTCAGGAATCGTCTGTCGGCCATTTTTTTTAAAAATGCACTAGAGTTGAAAGACGAGGCCTTTAATGTATATTTTACAGCAAAACTCTTAAGCTAGTCTAGTATGATACCTATATTATAGTTATAAGTGAGCTGCAGTCCTGAATCCATCTAAAAATGAAGCGGCTAACTTTTTTCCTTTAAAACAATTACTTAGTGTTCTAAACCCAACAGAAAAGCCTAAACATGCGTCTTTTTCTTTTTTCTTTAGACACAAGCCAATTCCTGAAATTAAAACTGACCCATGAATTTTCTGAAGAAAGTTATGGATGAAGAAATGCTGTATTGGGGAGGGGAGAGAATACTGAATGCAGTGGGTTTTCAGAACTGAATATATTGAAATGTATATCAGCTTCTGGCTTTTTTTGCCTGCTATGCCTGGCTCTTTTTTTTTTTTTTTTTTTTTTT